TCCGACTGCTATTTGTTGCCTGTTCGCGTTACTCGCACAGAGTCTGTTGAACCTGGCTGCTCTTTAGCCTGTCTAGATTCGGTCGCCTGAGTCGGCTTACTTCGTGCAGTCCGTACGTGGAAACGATGTAAATAAGTGCAGAATTGTACGGAAACACGGTTCTATAATTGGCATGATTAGCAAGATTGAAATGTTACACTTACAACCAAATGTCTCCAGGCGTACAGTCAGAAAGATGGCGTATAGTCAGACGGGCAGCGTCAAGTTGCGCGGGATGAAAAACGGGAGATTCAAGCAAATAGTACGAAGGTTGAGGGAAAACAGAAGGCCATAATTTTCCGCGGCAAACAAAAAATGCAAAGTATGTGGTAAAATGTGCCAATAAAAATGGGAAAACATACGTGGGAACGTACACTCCCACCCAAAATTTGCGGCTGTCGTTGGCGCGGATAACATTCATCGCTTGGTTCGTGGTTCTCTAACAGGCACAAACTGCGCACGTCTCTCACTAATTTCCCATGTTGCGTCCTCAGTTCAACATCTCTCACCCTTCCGTCCTTTGATTCGAGCAGCTTTTCCACTATGGCCTTCCTTCAGTGTCCTCGTGGCGCTCCTTTGTCGACCACAAGGACCAGATCGCCAATACGGAGCTGCGGGGCCTCACCGATCCACTTTTGTCTAGTTTGCAACGATGGTAAGTAGGCACTGATCCACCTTTTCCAGAATATATCAGCAAGATTTTGGGCTTGGCGCCACCGTCGGTTAAGTCTAGAGGGACTGCATTCCTCAACAGATGATGAAAGGTTCCGAGTACTCAGCAAATGTGTTGAGGAGTGAGTACAGCGTACTCGTTCGGGTCCGTACTGTTCTTAACCAGCGGCCGGTCATTCATTATCTTCTCTGTCTCGGTTATGGTTGTTACGAAGACCTCGTCTGTGACCACTTGTGAACCCAAAATTGAACGTAAAATCCGTCTGACGGACCGTATCAGGCGCTCCCATACTCCCCCCGATGACTTGCTGTCGGCGGCGTGAAGATCCAATCGCATCCCTTCTCCGCAAGAGAGCTCGCTATTCGATCCTGGTTCCATTTCTTCAGCAATTCCTTCAGTTCGTTCTCAGCCCCTTTGAAATTGGGTCCGTTATCACTGTACATTTTTCGTGGACAGCCTCTCTGGGCAACGAATCTGCCGAAAGCACACAGAAACGAATCAGTCCCCATGTTTGTGACCACCTCGATGTGAACTGCGCGAATGCTGAGGCATGTGAACAGACAGCAATACCTCTTTTCCGATCGTCGGGCTATTTTTACCTGAAACGGTCCGAAGTAATCGACCCCGTGAACGTAAAAGGTGGATTATACGGCTCCAGTCGATCAAGCGGCAAAGGAGCCATCAACTGTCGTCAGGGTTGTGAGTGCCAGCGCCGACACACAAAACAAGACCCAATTACTTTTTTAATGAGTGCTTGGCCTCGAATTATCCAGTATTTTTCTCGAAGGATGGCACTGGTGTGTGGTATCCCTACATGACCATTTAGATGATGAACATGTTGCACGATTAGCCGACATACGTAATGATTTTTCGGGAGGATAACCGGGTGTTTCATTTCGTACGGAATCGGTGCGTATTGAAGTCGCCCTCCCACTCTAATCAGACCGTTGGAAATGAATGGTGAAAGGTGCTTCAGTGGACTGTTGATCGCTTTCAATTTCTTGAAATCAGTGTTTCGCAGATCGCTGTATACGCACTTAAGCTCGTTTTCGAAGAATTGTCTCTGAACCAACCTCAAGATATCGCATTCGGCACCTTCTAAGTCTGCCACGGTAAGTTGCTTGGAGACGACTTCTGGTTGATGTGAAACCTTATTTTTCAAGAAGACTTGAAATCGTTGCAGCCAAGCAACAAGTCGTAGCAGCTTTCTCCAGCTACCGCAGCCCGAAAGCTCCGTTAGCCAGTGATCTTCAAAAAGAACAGCATTTACGGTGGCATCGCATATCTTTGTAACAACAACGGGTCGTTGATCTGGTTCCTTGGGCCATTCCTCTGATTTCTTGCTTAGAAAGACGGGACCCGTGAGCCACATACTCTTTTCCAGCCTGTAACCAGCTACGCCTCTCGAAGCTACGTCAGCTGGGTTAGTCTCGGAATTTACGTACCGCCATTGTGAAGGATCTGATAGGCCTAATATGGCAGAGATACGGTTAGCCACAAACGTTTCAAGACGCGAAGTGGTGTTCCTTATCAGTTGTAAGACGACCATCGAGTCCGTCCACATAGTCTTTGAAGAAATTGGTAATGTTAGTTCCAACTCTGCCTGTTTCACTAGGTTAACGACCAGAACCGCAGCGGTGAGTTCTAACCGTGGTATGGTTTGGACCTTGAGAGGCGCGACTCGAGATTTGCCCCACACAAGCGTCGTAAATGTAGTGCCATTTTTGATCGCTGCGTGAAGGTAGACTACGGCCCCGTATCCGCGGTTTGACGCGTCCGAGAAACCGTGTAGTTGATACTGCTCGACAATATCCAAACCGACCGGGGTCAAACAGCGTTGAATTGGAACACTGCTAAGACCCTGAAACTGTTTCGTCCAGTTAAACCACTGTCGCGCGTGCTCAGCGTCGATCCTGTCGTCCCATCCGAGATTGGAGCGGCACAACTGCTGCAGCAGCAACTTGGCCGGCAACAAAACAGGAGCAACGAACCCAAGTGGGTCATAGAGGGTTGAGATATACGAGAGCATCGTTCTTCTAGTAATCGTCTCTGTAGGCCACTTGACTGTGAATCTGAATGAGTCCGTAGACTTGTTCCATTCGACTCCTAGTGTTCTATAGGTATCGGCTGGCTTAAGATCGAGGCAGATTCCCCCGTCGACTCGCTCTTCCTCAGGGATGTCCGCGAGGGCCTCAACCGAGTTGATCCGCCACTTATGTAAACGGAAACCGTGAGTTTGCAGAGCTGCTCGCAAGTGAGAAGCTACATCCCTAAGGGCTTGTGCGGAGTCACGGCTGATCAAGCAATCGTCGACATATAAACACTTTCGCAAGTAACTAACATTGTGCGCTGAGGGGAAGTCTACCACCCGATCTATCGACCGATTTAGTGCGTAGATAGCAACACATGGAGAAGAGGTTGCCACGAACGGGTGTACCGCCATTTGATAAACCTCAAGTTCTCGTGCTAAGTCACCATTCGGCCACCATAGAAAACGATAAAACGAACGCTGGGCTTTCGGAACTCGGATCTGGTGGAACATAGCTTCTATGTCTGCAACCGCTACGTACTGAAACTCGCGGAATCTAGTCAAAACTCCACACAAACTGTTAGCCAGGTCTGGACCTTGCGGTAATTGGAGGTTGAGTGATGTGTCCCTGTATTTGCTGGCGCAGTCGAAAACTACTCGCAGCTTCTCCGGTTTCATCGGATTAACTACGGAGTGATGGGGTAAATACCAAAGTTGTCCGGGAACGACGGTGGATATTGGTGCAACGGGTTCTGCGTAACCTTTGTTGATATATTCAGAGATGGCCTTAACATATCGCTCCTTATACTCCGGGTTCTTCAGAAATCTGTTTTTCAAGGCATATAAACGTCTGCGAGCAACAAGCTCGTTGTCAGGCAAACAGGGAGAACCTAACTTCCAGGGTAGAGGGACTTCCAAGGGCCCTCGCTTCAGATGCGCATGGGATTTGAACAAATCTAAAACTCATCTGTCTTCCACCGAATATGCCTTATCCAAAGGTTTGGGCTCAGTTTATTCAGTTTATTTGGTAAGGATAATAGGTAAAGCCTTTGAAAACCCTATTGATTACATGTCAGCTCGTTAGAATAACTGTACACGAACAAAAAAATGTTCACTATTAAAACAGTACTTGGTTCATTTGAGTAGCATTGTCTCAGCGAAAATATTTGTCTGGATCAAGGGTATTAATTCAGATTCAGACTGTCGAGGGAAAAGAGGGGACACAAATAATCATCCAAGCGTTTCTTGAACAGTTGCAGGGATGTAGCCTCCACGACTGACTGAGGGAGATCGTTCCATTTCTCCACTACCCTCTGCGTGAAAAATTCAGAACGGAGATTCAGCCTGGACATTGTTGTCCATAATTCATCGAGTGACCACGAAGATTGGGTGAAAGGTGCCACTGAAACATGTCCTCAAATTTAAGTCCATACTCAAGGCCATGTATTATCTTGTAGACGAGGATAAGATCGCCTCTTTGTTGCCTGTAACACAGAGGGAATAAATTAAGGCAATTCAGTCTGTCTGTGTAGGATTGGCTTTTTAGACCGTTTACCAGCTTTGTTGCACGCCGTTGTACCCCTTCGAGGCATTCTTGGTCCTTTGCCAGCCATGGCCGCCATGCTTGTATGCCATATTCTAAGTGGGGCCGAACAAATGTGCCGTAAACTCTCCCAAAAATGTCTTGGTCAAAGTTAACGAAAGCCCTTTTTATTTCATGCAGCACTCCCATGGCGTTTTTTGCAGCCTTGTGGCACTGCAGTGTTGGTTTCAGGTTGTTCTGTATCCAAACCCCGAGATCCTTCTGTGAAGATTCTGCGGGGAGCCTTATATCTTTCAGGTGATAACTCCTCAGACTCTCATTTGAATGAGAGTTGGTTGGACGCAGATGAAGGACGGCACACTTCTCCACATTGAAATCTAGAAGCCATTTCTTCGACCACGCTTGCAGTCGGTGCAGATTATCTTGAAGGGCTCTCTGATCATTCGGACCCTTAATGACTTGCCAGAGCTTAACGTCGTCTGCAAACATTATTTTGCCGCAGTCGAGTTCCTGAAGGCTGTCGTTAACGTAAAGGATGAAGAGCAATCGTCCCAGAACTGAGCCTTGCGGCACACCACTGGTCACATTCACCCATTCTGACATATCATCCCCGATACAGACACGTTGTTTCCGACCAACCAGAAACGCCCTAATCCAGTTCAGAAGATCTCCCCGGATGCCGATGTCGCTCAATTTGTGAAGAAGACGTTGGTGTGGGACAGTGTCAAAAGCTTTGCGGAAATCGATGTACACGACATCGACCTCAAAACCCTCTTCTAGAGCCCTGGTCCAGATTTCCAGACAAGCTAGCAGATTTGAGAGGCAGGAACGCCCTCTCCGGAAGCCATGTTCAAGATCCTGCAAGATGTTATTTTCTTCACAAAATTGCTGTATAGCGTTCTTTACTATAGCTTCCATCGTTTTGCAAGGGAGGCAAGTTAAGCTAATAGGTCGAAAGCTGCTTGCTGTCATCTTGCTACCTCCCTTATGCAATGGAACGAGGTTAGCTGTCTTCCACTGTGATGGCAGCCTTCCTGTTCTCATTGACAGCTCAAAGAGAGTCGAAAGAGGCTTTGACAGCTCCCTTGATAGCTCCTTAAGTATCAGCCCGGGAATTCCGTCGGGTCCAGGAGACTTATCAGGTTTTATTTGACTGAGGACTCGTCTGACATCTTCCACGGAAAAGGCGACGGTTTTAATGACGGCAATATCTTGGCGCATTTGAAGCTCCCGGCTGTCTCGGTCCATTTCAAACTGCTGATTGTCTTCTAGGGACTCTTCCGTAAAAACCGATTGAAAAAACTGAGACAGTAATCACACTTTCTGTGACCCTTCAACTAATAAGTTTCCAAGGCTATCCTTTAGACACGCAATTTCGTCCCTATGTTTCCTCCTACTGCGGATGTACCCATAAAACTTCTTGGGACATGCAATGGATTCTGCTATCAGTCGACGCTCGAAAGAACTTCTAGCAACCCGTATTTCTTTGCGGCATTTATTGCGCTGATACTTATATTCGGCGAGTGACCTTGGATCTCGAAGTTGCAAATACTTTTTCCAGAGTCTCTGTTTCTTCTTCATGGTCTTTTTTGTCGTCGGATTGACCCACGGCGGTCGCATACATGGTCTTGTCATTTTTATTGGACAATGGGAATCAATCAGACGCTCTATAATCCAGCGAAAGTACTGCCAAAATTCGTCTGAATCTTCTGTGTTGACCAACCAGGTTTCCTCCAAAAGAGTGCGTCTCATTGCGTTAAAGTCACCCTTCCAAATATTTCTGCGCGACTTGATTTTTGGTTGTTGGTTGGATAGGAGAGAGCACACGCAGGTAAAAGCAATATGATCGCTTAAACCGAGTGGAGGTGGTGGATTCACTTCCTTTATGAGTCCTTATTCTTTACTGAAAACGAGATCTAAACAGTTAGATCGTTGTCCTTCTCTCATTCTTGTTCCGAATTTTATGTGCTGAATGAGGTATTCATTCAGGGAGAGCTGTAGTGGCTTGTGGTCAAATGACGTGGACGGGGCGTTTGTTAGGGGAATGGTCCAGTCTATTCCTGGGGCGTTGTAGTCACCCAGAAGTAGTAAGTTCTACTGCTTACATGTCAACTCCAGTGCACTTAGTAATTCCATATCGGCGATTTCATTCGAGCTGGGAGGCCGATAGACAACACACAGGTTCAGTGTCGGTAATTGTTTGATGCATATCTTGCATGAAATTATTTCAAAATTTCGGGGCGCACCATCGGATATTTCTCGTTGACAGCACACAATTTCATTTGACACATAAATAGCTGTGCCTCCACCTCTACGGTGAAATCTGTCACAACGGAACAGTTGGTAGCCTTCAATTCTGACTTCGCTACTACTAATTTCCTCAGTCAACCATGTCTCTGTTAGGACAATTATGTGTGGCTTCTGTTCAGATACTAGTAATCTGAGTTCATCTAGCTTGTTGAGAAGACTCTGACAGTTAGTGTAATAGATTTCTAGACAGCGGCCACTGGTTCGAGCAGCCTCAGGAGTTGGCACGTTTGCATTGGTAAGGCTGTCAGAATGACGGCCTTCGGCCAGAGAAATGTCCGTTTGACCTAACTTATTTGTCCATTCTTGATTTGTAGGTGTGTTTCGCCGCTGTTTCTCCGCTTTTCCAGCTCCGTCATCAGCTCTCTCATTTTCATTCGCTCTTTTGGCTCGTAATCCGGCTGAAAAAAAACTTCAGGATGCTGATCCCGTAGAGATGATTTTCTCTGTAACAGAAGCTGGGCCTGTGCTTCAGTCTCCAAAATGACTTTTAGGGGTCGAGGCCGGGAATTGGAACCGGATGCTCACCAAAATCAACGTTCCACATATGTTCTAGCGTTTCCATGACGGAATCTTTCTCGCTCAAAAATCAACGTTCACTCCTCGAAGATCTTGCTCAGTTACTGGTCCCATGAGAACCCAACCAAGAGGGGTACGAACTGCATAGGGATCTTCATGTCCGCCGTATCGATGTTCCAGTACCCAGTGAGCAGCAGGTACATTCATTCTGCTTAATATCGATACCTTCGCTCCTTCGAAAAGGGGGAGTTCGATGTCACGTAGATGTTCCCAACGTGCTGCCTGGTTTCTAGCTAAGGCAAAACGCTTCAACTTAGGAAGATAGCTAACGGACCAGGCTTTTTTTACTCCCAGTGGCTCCTGCCCTTCTATCGCAGATAGCTGAAAACCCACTATTTCGGAACTCACTTCTGCTGTCTGAACGACAGAGGATACTGACAACACTGCCGGTCGGCCAACGAGGCCTAATCGTTTCAACAAGTATTCATCGATGAGAGTAGTCTCTGAGCCACTATCAAGGAAAGCATATGTGATAACCGAACCGAGAGGACCAAACACTTTTACTGGTAACACTCCTAGAGAAACGACTTGGTCTGCGCCGTATGTTGTGAGACAGTGGGCTGCTTCAATACTCTGCTCTGGGTTCTCTTTCGTTTGGGACGCACCAGCCCCGTCTTCTGGCCGGTGCAACAGTGGATGGTGACGCATGGTGCACCGCGCGACACCACATGTCTTGCGCGACCTACAGTTGATGGCATCGTGGTTGGGTTTCAGACAAGAATGGCATTATCGATTACGTTCAACGAAAGCTAATCTTTGTGGCAGGTTGAGGGCGACAAACATGCCACACTGATCGGTGTAATGGGCTTCCTCGCACTGCAGACACTGTCGGCGCAGCGTCGGGATCCTATGTACTGTGGATACTGCTACAGTTTGTGTGTGATGCGTATAGGCCTTATGCATCGGTCCTTGATCGCCCGGGGAACGACTGTGCGCTGGGACTGGACCTGAGGAGTAGGATTGGTGTACCATCAATACATCAGCTCTCTCGTCGACAAATTCGGTTAGATCTGAGAACGTTGGCTCCCTTCCAAGGCGTAATGTTGATGAAGCGGATTCTGACCACCTAAATTGAAGTGGTTGAGGTGGTCGCCTGACGATTGCAGCTAGCGTCCAAGATGAATTTAAGTCCGCTAAATATTCTAACTGCTTTAACGTGTTCTTGCAGTTCCTCATCTCCCCAGCCAGCTTCATCAGGGTGGTAGGATCCATAGATTTTATGACTGGACCGTCAATCAAATTATCTATGTGGGCCCTGGCAATGGAGTGGTGCTGGCCGAACCGTCGCCT